ATCACAGATTCCAGGGCATGGGACAGATCCTATAATTGTCGGTATCGAGTGCTGCATTACAAGTCGCATTCATCGGACCAAACGCGACTGACATGCTAATGGAATTGTGTCAATTAGCTAGAGGCGATTCAATTGCATCAATTAGCGAACTTGTCCCACGGAGCACTGCCCCTCATCTGTTCTCCCAGAGCCCCAAAAGGTGAGTCCACAATCGATCTGGCTAAAATTCAGAGATCCGCTGATTCTTATCATGCTCGGGGAAATGCTCGTTTACTTAAATCACTTTTCAGCATCATGGTTGAGCGTATTATATCTAAAAACATTGGAGTGGAACTCGTTACAATGGCATCACTTTTGTGGTCTAAATACATTAGAGCATCGGCTTTCCGTATCATATTCGCTGCGATAATTAGCACCACAAATGTCACGCCTCATTATGTGACTCACGTAGAATCGTGGGAGCAGCGGTTTACAATGTTTGAGGAGGGGGAGCGGTACGATAAATCAGCCAAGCCAACGTACTGTTGATTGTTGGTCGCCGGTTTCGCTGACAGCACTTTTTCGGTTTTATTTCGGCATGATTTACGGCTTTTAACCGCTGCGCGTGCTCAGAACGTGGTGGCCAGAACGCTTTGGAGGCGGTGGCTAATGGATATGCGGCTAATTGATATGGGCGCCGATCGCTGGTAAACACTCTCTGATAATAGGATTATCGACAGACTCCGAGTTGTCGGTGGCATTCTTGAGTTACTTCGCAATGCGCGATTCAGTTGGTTGTGCAATGGATTTTAATTGGCCACTGGCTCCGTAAGAACTGGGTCAAATGTGGACTAGTGGCGAGTTTTCGTTTACATGTGTGTCAGTAATGAAACGACTTTTATTTAAAATGCTTGCCAAAACAAAATTTCTGCCAATCCTAAATATTGCAATGATGAAGTCAAACTCATACGTGTATGTTGTTATCAACCTAATTCAATGCCTGGCATGATCCCAGACAGACATTGACATTGAGCAATATGAGCTCAGCAACGTTACTTTGTGCTTTTTGGTGCATTTAAAAGATTAATCTCTAACCTCGTTGACCCAAGTGAGTCGAAGACACACTAAGCTTTCTCATTGACCATCCGCCCTGTTGCACCAACTGCCCATGCAATTGATTCACTGGCTCGAAGCCGAAGAATCGATTAATGCCTGAGATGCTTCATTACGACCTTCGGCAATACCCTGTAGTATAGCCCAGCTGCACTGCTGATAAGAACGCCGTTGGCATTGGCACATATTATGCCATTCTAGCATCGAGATCGTCAGATCGCGAGGAATGCAGGTCAGGTTCGCATTGCGAAAGTGCGTAATTGGCTTGAGGGTATATAAATAAGTTGGTTCCTTGTGACCATCGATTCCCCGCCTTAAAACTGTACCACTGTTACGGATTTTTCCACACCCTAGACGAATTTCAAGTGGAATAAATTATGCCCGTGCGAACACCTATAATTGTGGCGTCCAAGCGACCTGTGGAATTTGGCTGACAGACAGGGAAGCTGGTTTCGTTTCTGCCAGTCATGAAATCTTCTCAAGCCCTTCATTTGTAATCTACGGTATCTTTCCGCTGCCGGTGGCACGAAAATTGTTAAAAGTATTTAACTGGATTCTCAGCTATTCTGAGCCACATTGGCCCATTCAATGAAAGTGATTTTCCCAGTTCACAATGAAACTTGATTTATTTAGTTTTATGTCATTCGCAATCTTCATTACTTAATCTGTCTCATATGCAAATCCGTACAAATAAACCAGAATCGCAAGCGCTCATACGTAATAGCTTGAATATATTAGTTTTATTGTTCTATGACTCATTAACCATTGAGTATTTGCTAAGATGTTAGCATATTGCATTTTTAATATGATTTTTTTAAATCAGTATTTAACTTAAGTTATTTCTGTTAACTTAACCGATTATTAATTTATTCATTTAAGGGCGCGTAAGCGGAGAGCGTCGAATTCTGAATGGAGTCAGCGGCAGTTTCCGGAATGGTCAACTTTCGGCTATCATGGGACCCTCGGGAGCCGGAAAAAGCAGTTTGCTCAATGCGATTTCGGGTTTCAGGTGAGAACAATACGCCCAACCAGACTCGACTGCATTGGGCGTTATGTTTTAAGTGTAACAAAACAAGAGTCATATAACTTGGGGCAGCCGAAACTTAACCGGTTCTATGTTTCTGTCTGTGAATGGTGATTAAGTGCGGACTTTATTCCGACTCAAATGCGAAATAACTACTGCGCTCTGTAGGTTTTGGAAGGGGGATAGATAAGAAAACAAACATCCCCAGTAATATGACGCCATTCTGGACCAAAACAGGATTTGCCTACAAAATAGATGTAGATTTGCATGAAACTGATGCTTGCTCAAAATACAGCGGAAACTTACAGAATTAGCTTAATAATCGGCAAAGTCACGAAACGATGTTTTAGAAATAATGATGTTGGTAGGTTGACTAGGCTCGCTTGAATAGGCAGTTGTAAGATTTGTTTACAACCGGAAAAAGGGAAACGATAAGAAACAAAACAATAATAGGAAATGAGTTTCTTTGTTAGATGTAAAAACAGGATATAGTCCTGATCCTGATCAAGAATATATATACTTTATATGGTTGGAAACGCCTTCTTTTGCCTGTTACATACTTTTCAAGGAATCTAGTATATCCTTTTACTCTACGAGTAACAGGTACAATAATAACTTGGATCTAACTTTCAATGACTTTCAGACGCGACGGAGTCACAGGGAACATCAAGATGAAGAGGGACAACGCCTGCTACATCACGCAGGACGATCACCACCAGACCCTGCTGACTGTCGAGGAGCTAATGAATCTCGCCTGCGATCTAAAGTTGAAGAATCGTCACAAAAAGGCCGAAATCATGACAGACATACTGGAGAATCTGCACTTGAATCACCGGCGCAATGTGACGGCGGAAAAGCTGAGTGGCGGGGAGCGGAAGCGATTGTCCATCGCCCTGGAGCTGGTGGACAATCCCAACATCTTCTTCTTGGACGAACCAACCAGTGGCCTGGACGAAGTGACGGCGGCCCAGTGCATCCGATTGCTGCAGGCGATGGCATACGAGGGTCGCACCATCGTTTGCACCATCCACCAACCTTCGGCCACGATATACAACTACTTCGACAGCATCTACGTCCTGGCCAAGGGCCAATGCGTCTACCAAGGTAGTCCCAGGGCCACCATTCCCTTCCTGCGGCTGGCCCAGCTCGACTGCCCCAGGCATTACAGTCCCTCGGATTACAGTAGGTTTTTCCAGTTAATTTCATTAGTGAGTGCTTACTTAATCCTTCTTTATAGTTATTGAGCTGGTGGATGCCGAGGATGGACACCTGGTGCCAGCACTCAGCGACCTAACCGAGAATGGGAAGCTGAACTATGTGGCCAGCCAGTCGAATCAATTGGCACCTCAGCAGGCGGTCACCACGATGTTTTTGGAGCAACAGAAGCGTCCAATTCTGCCCGGCTTTTTCGCCGGCAGTGCCGCCTCCACGGACGGAACGCTAATTGGAGGCACCAGTGCTCTGTTGGAGCAAGTGAAGGCCTTCTCGAAACGCCTCCATACGGATCGGCGGGATATATCTGGGCTGCGTCAGTTCATAGTCCTCATGCGGGTAATGCTACTGCGAATTACGCGGGCTCGTTTGGCCCTGATAATTCAACTGTTCCATCACCTGTTGTGCGGTCTGTTCTTTGGCCTGATATTCTTCCAACTGGGCAACCAAGGTGGCCGGATGTTCGATCATCTTAAATTCTGCATCGGCGCCGTCCTCATGATCGTGTACACCCAGGTGATGGTGCCAATTTTGAGCTGTAAGTGCTTTCCGCTTCTATTTTGTACTGTGTGTGTAGTTAATCCTAATTAATTGCTGCAGATCCCGCTGAGGTGAAAGTGGTCAAGAAGGAAACCTTCAATCGTTGGTATACCCTTACGCCATACTACATGGCCCTCACAATATCGCGACTACCACTCCAAGTGCTGCTCAACATCACCTTCATGGCAGTCACGTACTGGATGTCCGGATTGCCCCAACAGTTCTGGCGCTTTGGCATTTTTGTGGCTGTGGGCCTAATGATCTCCTTGGTGGCCGAGGGAATGGGGCTGGCCATCGGAGCCACCTTCAGCATAACGGTGGGTTTGTTAACCGCATCTGAGGTATACTTTTGGGCTCAAACACCTTATTCCCATTGCAGAACGGCAGTGTGGTGGGTCCGATGATAATAGCTCCTCTGATGGGACTGGCGGTCTACGGATTCGACTTTGCGCCGCAGATATCGGGCGGAATGCAACTGCTGATGAAGTTCAGCTATGTGCGTGTTGGCGTAGTTTCTTTGGTTTTAGCCGTCTTCGGATTTCAGCGAGAGGAACTCGACTGCGATGCGATATACTGTCATTTTAGCGATCCGCGCGTGTTGCTCAAATTTTTAGATGTGGAAAAGGTATCGATGCTCCATCAGTTCGGACTGCTGGCCATGCTGATGCTCTTCTTCCGCGTGATGATGTATATCAGCCTGCGGAAGCGATGCTATGCCTGATTTCGAAACCAATACTCCAGATGAATCTTATCCCTAGCTTTAGGCAATGTCAATGCTGTGATGTTCGATTTTAAACAGACAGATAGATACTTCCTGTACATACTTATGCACCATTCCCCTGAAAAGAACAAAGGTTAACATAGACATAAGATAGCTTAAGTTAGGATACAGTTCACATACACAAAAGCCTTCGAAAGCCAAATTATCTGCAAAGTGCATGACGGAAATTAAGGAAACATCAATTAAGATTTGCCAAATGTACATTATTTACATTTCCGGTAAAATCAAAATTACTCGACAATCCCAAGTTGTTTTGCAGAGAGGAGGCGATAAAAATTTTTACATTTTTGTGGTTACAGTAATATTAATTCGAATTGCGAAGAATAAAACTGATGTTTTGGCAATTCAAGATTATCTGCCTTGTGTTCTTATTGATGTTGCAGTTATGATGAGGCAACATGATATCAGGGCGAGTCCTGAACTGAACTGTTGCTGTTACCATTTTCCAGAGTAAGATCTCGAATGGCTTTAAGCAGATCAAAGTACAGGCTCTTTCGCCAAATCACTTTGTCTAACGCAGGTTCCAGCATGGATGATATGGTAGATTTCTGTGAGGCTGGAAGGTTACTACGCAAACGATTGTTCAGCGACGAAAATTCATCTTTGGTGGTAATCACATTGACAAACGCGTTCAGAATTAATTTAAAGTCCTTGCTGGAGATGTTGATATGTTCATTTTTAGTTTTTTGAAGTCACCATAGTAGTTTTTGAATACTCACCGGTTTAGGATAGCCGCTGTGTTTGCGATGAGAAACTCTTTGCCTACATAGTAGCCCAATGAGGATCGCATTACGGCGCTCAGGAGACCAGCAGTCAGCGTGCTTGGAACCATTTCTGGGTCAAGGGCCCACTTGAGCAACTTTTGCATCGCCCAATACTCCGTGGTGCAGCTGAGGGAATTCAGGAGTATGCTCTTGTCTTTATCGTTTTTGGCCTCGAAGTACATGTCCCGCACCATTACCCAATCATCCTCCAAGGAGTTGCGAATGCCCCTGCAGAGCACGGTTTCTCGAATCTCTTCCGGAATGGAGGAGATGGATTTCTGCTCTATCGCCGACTGAAATCGCTCTTGTGCATCCGCTAGGCATTCCTTGACTTCGAACTGACACGCCGGCTGGTATAAAATCATCGGCAACGAAGAATCCGTTTTATTTTCGGTTTTCGTGGTGTTCAGGAATATTTTGGGGATGTTCGGTATTTCCGGACTTGTTCTGGCTTTCATTGGAAGGGACTTTATTGCGGCTTTAAAAACTGGCTTCATAAGTTTTTTCATGAAAAGCTAAAAAGGGGAGGTCTAGATTATAGATATAGATTAACAATGTTGTCGGATTCGGTAAAACCCACCTTAAAGATACGAAAACCCGTAGTCAATCTCATGATGCCTTGCAGGTTCTTCAAATGAAAAAGTGCTGTTTCCCAAACCACAAAGCTAGTCTCCTTTGAAAGATATGAGATCACTTTTAAGGTGACGTTATACGGCAACAGACCCGACCAGGCGAAACTGAGGGCATCATCGACCAACTGGGCGCGACTAAGCTCCGGAATCTGGGTAAAATCCTGAAGCAGAGCCGTACTAATCAGCTGCAAGTTGTATGAATCGTAGAGGACGCGAAGAGGAACTGCAGCATCGACATTTAATAACAGCCAATCTTTCGGATTAACGATGTGTTTGAGTTCCAAGATATCTGCTTTCTTTCTCTGACAGCCAAGCCACTCCACCTGGGAGAGCGGGAGATTTTTGACGATATATACGACGGGGATCCACCAGCAGTCCTTGGAGCTGATGTCCATTTTTTTCGGATTATAGTGTTTCTGCGTAATAGTCACCTTCTGCTTTTCATCATCTCGCTGGACTGTGAGTAGCGGGAAACCTGGTTTCTTTAGCCATGACTCCATCACAGTGTGTAAACTCACACCGATCGGCAGCTGGTGAGTTTGACGAGCCGCTCGCTGGAGCTCCTCCCACAGCTCCGTGGTCAAAGCGGAGGAGTTGGCGTACCGCTTAATGAACTCTTGCAGTCCCTTAAAGAACAACTTATCGCTGATGGCCACCTTAATCATGTGGATGAGCAGGCACATTTTGTTTTTGCGTAATTTTTGGTGTCTGGTGCTCCTTACATCGGTAGCTATGGCCTTTTCTTTGGCCAAGGAGTCATAATACAAAACATCTAGACGCGTTCTTAGGAGGTAAGTCATGTTATAGCCCTCTTTCTCCATGCCCATCGCCTGGAAGCTCAGATAGTAGTTAACGCCGTCCCGCACATATACTTCATTCAAGTCTGAGGAGCTCACAAGAAGGCCATTCCATTGGCGTGCCACCAGCTCCGCCAGCATTCCCTGCAGGCTTTCATGTCCCCTTCGGCCTGGGTTCACCTTATCCTCGCCGTACACCATCAGACCCTGGCCGCTATACAATTCCGTATATTCCGGCATCACTATATGATCGAGTTTCCCACTCCAATCCGGTCCTTTGGGCAATGGATATGCGAACAAGGTTTCGCAATTTCTAAACAACTTGGGCGTCATTTCCGCCACCTTCGCCAAACTCTTCGCCAAGTGCGGCCGTGACCAGACGGTTATATTCTCACCCGTAGCCGTAGGACCACTATAAACTTTCTGCAGACTGTGGAGAGTCCACATGACCTGGTGAGTGGCTAGCGGTGGTGATCCCATAAATGTCGTCGAAACATAGTTTTCGATTTCGTCGCTGCAAATATACAAACACATACATAAGTTAAACATCCCACCAGTGGCTTCTTTTGAGGATTTACTTACTATGGTGTCTCCTTTATGGGGGGCATATGGGTGAGTGCAACGAATTTCCTGTCGTGCACCATGGTTATGTTGTAAGGGGTCCGGAAGTGTGGGTTATCGAAGCAGGGAAACGCGGTTTGGGCATATTCCGGCTCAAAACGAGTCATGGAGTAGAACACTTTCGGCGTTTTATCGTAGTAGCTGGCATAGTAGCCATGTCCCTTTTGATTAAAATTCCTCGAGAAGAACATGTTGAGTGTGTATTTCTCGCCATATCTGAGGGGAAGTTCGATTACTAGCTTAACCACGCGGGGCTCCCTAACATTTTTCTGTAGCTGGAGTACACTAAGTTTTTTGCCGCTGGCCCAGCGCAAAAGCCATGTTTTTCTTTTTAAAATATACAAGTCGCTGGAATTTAAATAGATGAAGCGAGTTGATTTTGTTGCTTCAATATCGATGGATACGATGCCCTCAAACAGATTCCGAGCACCTCCGGCGTCCAGGCGCGTAAGGATCTTCAGATTATAACGCAATGGCTTTACTGTGGATCCTGTGGCCTTTTCCGGTAAAAAAGCGCAAAGCAATATAAGTATTTTCGGCAACATTGCTATGGGAAAGACTGCGACGAAACTAACGATCTGTAACAACTCTAACTATATAATGGTTTCACCTAATTGACGGTTTCACGCTTCTACATGGATTAGTTGGTTCTTAAAAGGCTGAATTAGATATGTAAGAACTTTACATGTAACAAAATTTTATTTTTGTTACAAAATTTGCATAAAATATTAAGAACTTAAACTCACAGCTATTTTAACGCTATTCAGAATCAACTATTTTTTCATGCTGCCGATTTTCTCCTTGCGTTTCTTCACGTGCTTCTTCACTTTGACCTTGCGCTGCTCGGCTTTCGCATCTTTGACGGCCTTCTTGCGAGCCTTTTTACTTTCCGGAGACTCCTCTCGGGGTCTTGCCGAATTCCTAAACCTTCTGGCTTCTTCATCGTTGTCGTTTTCCTGCGAGTCTCCGTCCTCACTGCCGCTAGTCTGGGCCTCACTACCATCCTCCTCTTTGGCGGTCGAGGATTGAAGAACGTCTGGCTTTTGCTGTACGTCCAGATCCGAAGTCAGACCAGTGATCTTTCCGTAGATGAGATTTTGCTGCACTCCTTGCTTTGCCTTGGCTACATCTCTCTCAAAATGACGTACCTAGAAGCGAAATATAGATAACGTAACATTGATTTTTAAAATCACTGCGCAAACATACCTCGTCCAATCTTTTTGGAATGTAGGTGTTCTGCCAAACAGCCTCATCGATCTTCTCCTGAGCCGAGATGGCGTCAAAATCGCGGTCCTTGATTCGCTCAGAGATGCGTTCCAGGCACTCCTCCATGTTCTCTGTAGTTATAGTCTGATCGGTGATGAAATCAAAAAGCTCCTTCACCGTCATCGTCGCCACCGCCCGCTTTCGGAAAAATTCGGATATGTTGGTACAATCCTTTCGCAGGAAGTCAAAGGAATGGGGATGATCGTGCTCCACTGACTGGCTTACGTCGATAATGACCAGCTGACCATCCTGCAGCAGTATGTTAAACTCTGAAAGATCAGCGTGCACAAGACGACATTGGTTGTAGATGCGCCACATGATGACTACGCAGTCTCTGTACAACTCTCGCGCCTTTGAAGTGCTGAGCTCAACGTCCTTGAGCTTTGGCGCCGGCCACCCGTCGCGACCGCAAAACCGCATGACCAGTACATGCGAGCGTAGCAGGATTGGCTCCGGCACAGGAACTCCCGCGTTGCGCATTCGCAAGTAGTTACGCATCTCCTTCTCCGCCCATGTGCGCACCATTTTGCGCGGATTGTGCTTGCAGTAGCCGTGCCGAAAGCGGAATTCGCCTGACACATATTTGTCGCGGTCCTTAAAGACCAGAATGGACGTCTTGTAGATCTTTATGGCGAACTCCTCTTCCCCATTTTTGGAAACGGCATGATAGACATTAGCCTCTTTGCCCGTGGATATGCAGCCGTTAATTTCCTGTATCATACCGCGATTCAGCAGCTTGAAGAGTATCATCCGGGTACGTGGATCCATCACCTGTTCCGCAGTGGCTCGGTCGTGCTTGTCACGAACTTGTGTCCTATCGCGCCGATCGAAGTTCACCAGCCGGTTGGCTGCCTGCGCGCTCATATTCGTGGTGGGATCGTACTTTTCTACGTTAATGCGGGCGGAATATCGGCGCAGCAGCTTTTCATTTGGTTGGTAGCTGCTGACGCGTTGCGAGCCAGCAGATGCACCTCCAGCGCCGCCACCGGAGCCACCTCCACTGGCGTTTGTTAGCTGCGGCTGGACATGAAGCTTGTTAAAGCCCGTATAAGCCTCCTCATACGCATCGTAGTCATCTCCGACATCGTCGTAGTCCTCTTCATCGTATTCCTCGACCTCTTCATCCTCTGCGTTGGTGGTTTCTATAACTTGTGCCAGGTCATCGAGCGCCTCCTTGGGCGTCAGTTTAATATCCTTAAAGATCTCGTGTTTAACTGTGAGGTTCTTGAAGTCGTTTGACCACTCGGACTATAAAATCAGGAAGTGTAAGATGTATTTCATTGCAAATTCTAAGCACTTTGCTTACACTCCGCAGGTCTTCTTCGTCCTCCTCAGCGTCGCTGTATTTGTGGCTGTCGTTGTTCATCGCGTGACGAGCAGTAGTTACTAATGAGTATCAAGTATTTCGTTGCATTTATATGACAGAAGCTGTTGATGCGGTGCCATACTTACACAAACTTATTAAAGCCCAATAATTTCACAAATTCGTACAACCAGCCGCACGTGTTGCGAATGGCATTCAAAATGAAGCGTTGACATTGTTTTGGTATTTTCCAGGGATGGCTATGTGTAGTAAGCAAATGTACGAATAAAATTTAAAGGGGTTTCAGTTCGACTACAGGACTTATTATCGTGCAGAAACCATGATTGGTTTTTGATTTGGTAATACTGAATACTAATTTTAATAAATTCAATTATTGGCGTTGGAAATAAACTGACTGAAATGTTAGCACGGGAGTACCCTAGCTAAGAGAAAAAATTCCTATCATGAGTATTTTTGGTATTTATAGCACGAGCATGTGGTCACACTACGTCTACACATGGTACTGCAACATTCAAAACAATGAACGAACATTAGTTTGGAATTAAATATTTTTACAATTTGGCGACATGTTCGTGCTGGCGGAGCTGAAGGACAATGTGAGGATTGCGCCGGACCAGTTCCATCTAAAGTTGGTGGATGCCGTGCGCGACGAGATCGACCGAAAGCTGGCCAATAAGGTGTGAGAAATGTGACTCCCCTGTGCACGTCCTGATTCCTGATTTTCTACCCGACAGGTCCTTCTAAACGTGGGATTATGCATTGCGCTGAAGGATATTGTTTCACTGAAGGATTCGATCATCCTGCCGGGAGACGGAGCCTCGCACACGGAGGTGCTGTTCCGGTACGTAGTCTTCCGGCCGATGGTGGGCACCGTGATTACCGGAAAGATACGCAACTGCAGCCGGGAAGGGGTACATGTGACTCTAGGGTTCTTCGACGACATCCTCATTCCGCATGCCGCCCTGCAGCATCCCTCGCGTTTCGATGAGGCCGAACAGGCCTGGGTTTGGGAATATCCGCTCGAGGACGGCGCCAAACACGATCTATTCATGGACGTTGGTGAGCCCATCAAGTTCCGCGTATCAAGGGAGATCTTCGAGGAAACATCGCCCATTGGACCGCCGAAAGCTGAGGCGCAGACTCAGCAGGGAGCCAGCGCATCCTCTGCAGTCGCTTCAGCTACCTCCCAAGAAGTGAAGACGCCGTACAGGATTATTGTTAGCTATTTACCGCCGCTGAGGAGGATCTCTATTAAATGAGTGCTTCTTTCCTCCAGGGTGCCATCAACGAATCCGGCCTAGGCGTGCTCTCCTGGTGGGATCAGCAGGGCAAGGACGAGGAGCAGGACGACGAGGAAGGCGACGATTACGACGACGAAGACGGCGAAGGCGCATGCGAAGAATGATCCTGACGACTACTCCATTGTATGATAGATGCCACTAACATTAGGGTTAAGAATTCGATTTAAGATGAAGTCATGACTATAAAGCTTGATTTAAGCCTGATTGGAGTTTTTTAAGCAAGATCAAATATGAAACGTACCAACTTCAATGTGTTTAACTGGTTCCTTGATCCGCGCTTTGATAAAAACACCATTACATTCATTTTACCATTTATTTATTTTATCATGTACTTGTAGAGTTGTGTTCTTGTTGATTTAAGACTGCAGTTTCCAATCTCCGTTTGCTCAATGTTCTGGATGAAACTCTCACATTGGAGTTAAAAACAAAGCATTTACATTAGGTTTGAGTGAGGGCATTACTTTAATGAGGAGAGCGGCTCTATAACGTAAGCTAGATATATAGAGTATCTTTGACGGCCAGAAGTCGATTGTTTATGGTTCGCAATTGCATTTTGCAATTTGACAACAATTTGCTAAACATTATGTTAAATTTTGACCTCATCGGTAGCGTGCACTTTATGTCACCTTAAAATACTTTCAGTAGCAGTAAGTTAATTACAGAGTAGTCATATGGTACAATCGAAGTTAGGTTTCACTGGTCAGGGTATGCAAAAGTCTAGGATTTGTAAATTTCAATTGCAATTTCAATCTAAAGCTGATGGCAACTTTTGCACGTTTTCGCTATACTCGTAAATATTTTCAAATATTCATCCTTTGTTGTTTTGCTTCTTTGAACTAATGTAATTAATTGCATATTTTGATTCACTTGGTATGTTTTGTAATTTTTTATTTGTTGTTTGTTCGTCTTTTGGGCGCAATGTTTTGTTTTAATTTTTGAGTTGGTTTTTCATTTGTTTTCTTTTCTTTCAGTATTTTACACGTAGACTGCATGTTTAAATACAGCGAGAGTAGTAAATAAAACGTTCGTTAAAAACTACAATAATATAAATAATGTATATTTATAAATATAAATATATATTTATGTATATGTATATTAGACATATTGTATTGCATGTAAATAAATATCATCTTCGGGTCTTTTGTGGTACTTCTTCGTCTTAAACAGATCAACTTAACTAAGTTCCGTATCAAATCACAGCAGAAATCAAAATAAGTCTAAAACTATAAGGGATAGAGTACAGTGTTGACGGAAAGTTAAAGTCACATAGCACGCGAGGAACTTGCCGACTGGAGGTTAGGTGTACCAAATTAGCATACTCGAATGGTTCGCGCATCGCACCGCTCCGCACGGAACCCACAACGAATCGAAAATCAGTGCTCCGGGAGCTCCGGGGATCCGTATCCGTCCATCTGTCCATCCGACCATCTCCACCCATCGATTATTCGATGATCAGGCATCGAGGCAGGTGCTCCTTCAGGTAGTCAAACAGCTCGTGTGACGCCCCCGGGCAGTTGGTCAGTTCCAGCTCCTGCAGATGCCTCAGCTGGATCAGGCTGGACAGACCCGAAGAGGTGAGCAGCGGACAGCCGGCCAGGGAAAGCACCTGCAGGTTCCGCATCGAGCACAGGTGCTGCAGCCCGAAGTCGCGCACCTGGGAGCACCAGCGCAGGAAGAGGGCGGTCAGCGACAGCATCGTG